CGACCTCCGTGACTGCTCGTACTTCTTCTCGTGCTTCTCCTTCTCCACCGCAATTGGCCTCGCCATTGTCGGCCTTCTCCTCGCCTGCCAGCAGTCGATCGGTGCACTCCAAGGCTCCAACGAGCCAATCCTCTACCTTCGCCACGTCCGCCGCAAGCGTGCTGGACGACAACGAAGAGCTGCAGCACCAGGATGTCTATGACGACAGCTTCCTGTTCGGTGAGCGTGCCGATGACTGGTTCACTACGGCACGCAACCCGCGTACGGATCCGTCGTTCCCGGGCGTCGACCGCGCCACGGGTCGCCTGAATGCCATCAAAATGCCCAACCTCCTTTCATGCTCGCGTCAGGAGATGCTTGACTACTTCGACAACTCGTGGGCCATGACGGACGCGCTGTTCGCCACACTGCAGGGCGAACGCGCCTTCATGACGGCACCGCCGCATCAGCTGCGCCACCCACTCATCTTCTACTACGGTCATCCGACCAGCTTCTTCGTAAACAAGTTCCTGGTATCGGGACTCATCCAGGAACCTGTGAACCCCTACTTCGAGCATATCTTTGAGGTGGGCGTGGATGAAATGCGGTGGGATGATATGAGCAAGAACGAGATGCACTGGCCCCACGTGGCCGATGTATTGGACTACCGTCGCCAGGTCTACCAGCTCATTCGCAGTGTTATCGAGACACACCCGGGCCTTGAGCCTGGACACGAGCAGATCACTGAGAGTAGTCCGCTCTGGGCGCTGCAGATGACGCTTGAACACGAGCGTATCCATCATGAGACGTCCTCGATGCTCATGCTGGAACACCCGGTCGAGTTCTTCCGTAGCACGTCGCTGCTGCCCGACTATCACGAGTCTCTAACGTACGACAATACGGAAGTCGCGCTGCATCCGGTGGCTGGCGTGGATTACCCGGTCAACGAGTTCGTGGACGTGCCGGCCGCCATGGTGCAGATCGGTAAGCCGCGCGACTTCCCGTCATTCGGATGGGACAACGAGTACGGACACCGGGAGGTGAACGTGCCGGCTTGCCGTGCCAACAAGTTCCTCGTATCTAATGGTGAATTTGCCGAGTTCGTGCGTGACGGAGGCTACCTTGAGCCGTCCTACTGGAGCAAATTGGGCTGGGAATGGCGCTGCTTTCGCAACACTAAGTGGCCGGCGTTCTGGGTGCAGGACGGACCTTCGGGTAGCCAACGCTTCAAGTTGCGTGTGCTGTTCGACGTGGTGCCAATGCAGTGGAACTGGCCTGCTCAGGTTAATTTTCACGAGGCCCAGGCGTTCTGCAAGTGGAAGCAAGCTAAGCAGGCGGACAAGAAGGTGGTCTACCACCTCACAACTGAGCCGATCCATCAGCTAATGCGCGGCGCTAAAGACCGCTCTGCCGATGTGTCGTCGGACGATGTTTTGACGATCCCGGAAGGCACCAGCATGGCTGCAGCTACTGGTAAAAACCTCAACTGGTCCTACATGTCATTTTCACCCGTGGACGCCATGCCACCGACAGCTCAAGGTTTCCACGACGTGTTCGGCAATGCCTGGGAATGGTGTGAGGATATGTTCTCGGCTCTTCCTGGTTTCCGCGTCCACCCTTACTACGATGACTTCAGTGAGCCGTGCTTTGATGGCGAGCACAATGTTATCATGGGCGGATCTTTCGCTAGTGCTGGAGACAACGGCGCGTCCAAGTTCGCACGCTATCATTTCCGGCCGCATTTCTTCCAGCATGCAGGTTTCCGTGTCGTGGAGCAGAAGATGGACGATGAAGGCGCTATCACGCTGGCGACGACGGACGTGAATGCTCCGCCCCCATACGTGAACGGAAACCCATTCCGCTCTACTGAGCGTGTGGTGGTGTCAGGTGCTGGTCGCGAGTCGAATGAGGCTGCAGGAACGAGCTGCCAGGGCCTCTTTGAAGATCTTCGACGCAAGAGCGAGCAAGCGCTTGAGTCGTTTGTGGCTTCGTCGACTTCGGACATGACGGACAAGCCTCTTGTGGCTCGTGAAGGTACAGTAGCTGCTGCCAAACTGCGACGTCAAGTCAAGTGTGGTGAGGTTCTAGTGGTGGTGCCCAGTGATGAGGCGACGCCTGCAGTGCTGGAAGACAAGTTCGAGTTGCTCGCGACGGCGGAAGTTCCTGTTTTCACGCAGGAGAGCGCGACGGAAGCTCGTGTAACGGCGGAGACCGTGACGGCTTGGAAGAAGATCCGAGACTAAGTGGTTAAGTACTCGGGAGCGCAGGTTCTTGTATATGCATAAGCGAAATTGAAATTGACCTATTTGTCTTCTTGCTCGAGCTTCGTTAGGTTGGCACTGACCGTCAATACGCTATAGCACAAGCATGTCAACAGGTCAGTCATTGGTTCAGTGAGCAGCGAGTTCAGTCGTGTAGCGCTTGGAGTTGATCTCCGCCCACTGGTCGAGTGTAAGCGGCGGGATGTCGGTGAGATCCTCGAAGCTCTGCGAGACAGGAAGAACCATCGCACTCGTGTCAATCTCACCACCAACTGCCGCTGAAGTCTCCGCTGCAGTCTGCACGTTCTTCGTTAACTCCACCGCGCACTCAAGAAACTGCTGCGTGTACGCTCGCGGCCAGTAGGCAACGCGCCAGAACTCCCGTCCTGGTTGCTCTTTCAGTGCATCCACGCGGCTCAGACGCACGGGACGCGCTTTGTTGGCGTGGCGTTGCAAAATACGCTGCACCTCTTTAATTGTCACGCGTGAAGTGTAGAGCCCTTTGGTTTTCCCACGGTGTAGTGGGAACGTGAAGGCTGCAGCCACCAGAGCCTTCGCTGCATCCTCGAGTGCCATCAGATACACCCTCGAAGACGCCAACGACGGCTCCAGAAGCGGCCACATCATGCGCGACGGAGGAGACGACATGGACGCCTGCATCTCTGCAGATTCCACTTCGTCTTGGGTCTCGGCTTCCACCTCCGCTTCAAATTCCTCATCACCGACGATAGGCACCTCTTTGTTCTCCTCTTCCAGACTACCCAGTCCCTCGCTGGCTTCGTCGCAATTGGACAGCGCTAGAAAATACTCCATGAACAACGGGAGACGTAAGATCGTGTACGCGGCTCCCGACGTCTTGACGCAGCTCTCGATCTCCTCGAGTTGTTCCAGAATGGCGCTGTGCTGAGAAGTAGGAGACCCGACGAAGATCGAGCTGACGAGCACCACACCCCAAGCGTTCGCACGCACAGCAGAGTGCACCACAGCACGCACCACGTCCAGACACGCTCTACCTCCAAGGCGGAGTGGAGGGATCAGTAGCACGACATCCAGTGACGAAAGCTGCTTCAACAGGTCTGCCATCGGATATGGAGGAGCGCCTTCGAGTTGGTACACCGTTGGCGGCAGGGGCACTCCAGGAGATCTGCTACGTCCAGAGACTCCAGGTGCGGCCTTAACCGTACACAACGTTACTTTGGCCTGCTGTAGACTTCCATCGCCACTGTGTCGACCAGGTAGAACAGTCGGGATCGCGCTCTCCCCAACCTCACGCGGCGGAAGCGCCGACGGTGCAGTGATTTGACTCGCCACGAACTTGCTCACTTCGAGAAACAGAGCTTCACCCGAGCCCACAACGAACAACTGCACTTGGTTCTGCGGCGTCCGAGCGAACATCGCAGACGCGTGATGTTGCAGCCATTGGCGGGGATTCATTCGATCTCGCTTGGTCAGCAGTCGAAAGTCACTCGTGCTGCGGAATGCTTCAGGTAGATGCAATGCACGGGGTTCCTCTTTCTCAGTTTGATCTGGTAGACTGTGAGCTTCCAGGAAGATCCGAAGACCAACAGTGCCTTGAGCCACTTGCTCGGGCGTGTGTTTCTCCTTCATCACACGCAGGAAATCTGCGTCGCTCAGTTTGCGGTACTTGATCTCTCGTCCCAGATACTCCGTCAGATAACGAGCCAGCTCGTTGGGGCTGCAGCTAGCGTTGATTCCTCCTGTCAATCGATACACCGACTCGTATTTCCGCTTGGGATTTGCCAGCACTTCAGCCGCCGCGTATCCAACGTCACGAACGGAGATACAGGGCACGTGCGAATCCGTGTCAAAGCACCCGATAAACCGGTTGGCGAACAGTAGTTCGTCTCGACAGTAGAGCAGTGTCTCCATGAGAAGAGGAATGCGTAGAGACACACAACGTCCTGGTTCGGGAAGCTGGTTTCTAGCGTGAACTTCCACGGCCTCGTAGCCTTCCAACACCGCAACATCCGTCGGTGTCTCACCGACCGCTTCCGTTGCTGGCCGCTCCTTGGCGTGCTCTCGGCGACAGCGAGCCAACAACTCAGGGGTAGACAGGATACTGCTGATCACTACGATTCTAGAGACTTGCTCCGCCGCCGCAGCGTCGACGACACGCCTCGAAAAGCGCACGCCACTCTCGGACAGCGCAGGAACGACAAGCACAGCGTCCGCGTTGCGTACAGCACGTCGAAGCGAATCCTCACCGCCTTGTGCGAAGTTACACTGCACGAGAAAGCAGTTGGTCGCGTGTTTCAAGCGCTGAACACGCGGGTCCTTGGTGCTCTCAACTGCGGCCACAAGAGCCACCGACACTTGCTCCTGCGCTGCCAGCACTTCCAGCGCCGAGCGCCCGATGCGACTGGTAGCGCCGAACACCACGATCACACGTGAACGCATCAGCTTACGCAGTTGAATCCCCATGCTTGCTGCCGTTGTAGTAAATAGCGAAATGCTTTATGCGACGGACGTCGCTTTTCTGCTGGGACGAGGCTTCGCTTCTTGCATCTTGGCTGCATCCTAACTGGCGCATGCACACGAGAGTTAGCTCTGAGAAAACGTTGGACAACTAACGGTAGAACAAGTCGAGCCGTCAAAGCGCCACGCAACTCCCGTCTTGGTTAGTTAGAGGAACAAGTTTTTATCATTTTGCTTTGAGTCTCGTCCCCTTGGACGAGTATCCTGCATGGTGTAGCTCTATTTGGACCGGTACACGACCTTCTGAGCCAGTCGCACCATGGCATCTCGCGCGGGAGATGGAGCGAACTGCATGGCCGCCTGGGCTGCCAGCTCTGCCTGGCCAATAGCCAGCGCCTTGGACCTTGCGATACCTGAACTCTTCTCCACCAGCTCACTAGCCTGCAATGCGAGACAATAAAAACATCAGCAACCGCATATTGTCCACCGACAACTTACAAATTTCAGACAAACCATTTCAATGTCGCCCTCCTTAGCGAATTTCCGCTTCGACAGCTCACGCAGCACGGGGAATTCCTCCTGTGCGAGCAGCAATGGAGCCGTTGACAACCCCGATTTAAGGTCGGCTAGTAACGGTTTACCCGTATTAACGCCCTCGTAATCCAGCACATCGTCAATCAACTGAATAAGAAAATAAAAAAAAGAAGTTAGTTATAGTGTCGACCATCGAAATCGCCACTTCAACAATAACTTCAACGTCTGTTTGTATTACCTGGAAGGCAAGGCCGATGTGGCGGCCAAAAGCGAAGCCCAAGTCGCAGATGTGTTGGTCGTGTTTGCCCAGTACCAGCGCCGCCTTGCAGCTGTTGGACATGAGAGAGCCCGTCTTGTAGTAATTCTTGCGTAGATAATACTCAAAGGGAGAAATGTCGTCACGGGCGTCGGCGTTCTTCATCTGCATCACTTCGCCCTTGACCAGGTGCTCGATCGACGTGGACATGAGCTCCACAGCCTCCAGATTGCGCAGACGAGCTAGCGACACGGACGAACGCGCCAGCAGGAAGTCGCCGGCCAGTACCGCCATCTTGCCACCGAACACTTTGTTCACGGACGGCCGGCCGCGACGTGTGTCGGCCTCGTCAATCACGTCGTCGTGCATCAGACTGGCCGTGTGGATCATCTCACTGCAACAACAACAAGGCCTACAGTTAATATCAACATAGAATTACATATAACCGGAGCAACGCACGTGATCTCGGCGAGACGCTGCTGTGCAGCGTGCGTGTACTCCTCAGACTGCGTCTCTGGCAGAGGAGTATCCATGGCGCGACGATGAGCCTCGGCAGCTCGAGCTACCAGCAGTACCATAGTGGGGCGCACCTTCTTGCCGCCGTCGTGCTCGAAGAAGTAGCGCGCCACTGCGGCCAGTACGGGGTGGTCCGATCCGAGGATCCGCTTGATACTATCGTTGACGTTGACCATATCCTGCTTCACGAGTGTGAACGGGTCGGCCAGATTGATCGGGTCTATGGGAAGGTAAGCCAGTGGCACGTCCACGTTGCCCATGGGTCTTCAATATTCAATAATGTAGTGGTTAGTCTGATGAATTGGTGGCGGCGGTATTGCTAATGCAGATTCGTACTGGTCGAAGTCGAGGCTGAGGTTATGATGCAGCTCTGGGCCTCCACCTGCGAGTGCGTATCCGGGTGCCGGATCCAGAATGGAGACTGTGGGCTCATCCTAAAGTAAGCGGTTAAATTGCAGCAGTTAGAGACAATAGAAGAGCACCAGAGTATTGCAGTCAAGACAGCAAGATGTACCACGGCCGAAGCGCTGAGCCACAGATTGGGGTTCGTCTCGAGGTCCGCGCGAATTTTGCTGGCCATGACGCGCACGGCCTGTTCACGCAGACTGCTCATGTGGCGCGCATGGGCGACGAGGGATGCGCCACGCTGCAGGAAGGGCTTCATGTCCTGACGTTGACGCTGCACTGAACCAGCTCGGACGTTGTGAGCCGCCCACCTAAAGCGCAACATTCAGACGAGTTGCGCTGGACGCATAAACGTGCAGTTGGACGGATTATGCTACTAATGCAACATCTGTCAAGGTTATGTTGCAACTCGTTTCTGAAGTGAAGTCTGACGAGATGGCTACACATTAAAAAAAAAAGATGGCTACATTTCTGCCCATTCGCGTCGTTTCGTGCGCATTGAGATGCAGACTCGACGGCGCGACATTGCTTCGTTGCTGGACGAGAACAAGCGACTTCGCGTGCAGTTGAAGAGATATGGTATGGCTCGGCAAGAGGCGGAGAGGCAGGTCGTTGAGCTTCAAGCCTACGCACACCGAGCAGAAACGTCGATGGCGCAGCAGCTTCGACTAAAGGAGACCGAGTGGATGGCCGAGTACGACCGCAGTGTGCACGCATTACTGAAGATCATCCAGTACCATGAGGACGAGAAGGCGCAGCTGAAGGCAGAGGTGGAGCAGTTGAGTGCAACGGCTGCAGTTGCTCCACCCTCGATCACCAAGATGACGCGATCTACTCAGACGGAGACGTTCGAGCCGGCGAAAGTCGCAATAAGGAGGAACAGCGTGCGTTTTGCAAAGGAGACAGGAGACATGGCTTTGAAGAAAGAGGATAAGCCTTTTGTCGACGCAAAGGTGAAGGCCAGTATTGCGCGTATGCAGGTGAGACCGGCAGGACGTATTTATTCTTACGAGAGAGCTCTGACATTTTGTTATTCAGCAACTGTTCGAGCAGCTCCACGTTTCCAGAGATCCACATGACAGCAAGTCTGTCAATCGACCAAAGTCCGTTGGGGATGATGACGTTAAATCAGGGATAACACAAGTTGACAACGAGCACTGTTCTTTCGAACGAAGCTCCAGGTTCAAAGTTACTGTCCTAGAACGACTAGGAGAGCATAAGACTGAGACTCGCACAGTACGACGACGAAAGACTGCTGCAAATACAGCGTGTGAAGATAGAAAGACTATTGAAACCCAAACAGACGAAATTTCGAGCCAAGAGATGCCCTCGATAATACTTCGACAAGACCTGGAGGAGCGCAACCGATTGCTGCACGAGCGGTTGGCGTCTCAACAGAGAGTATTGGATCAGCTGCTGCACACAAAGCTCAAGGACGTAAGTAGCTGCGCGGAGCAGAATGATCCCGTGTCTTCCACTCCGTCATATATACCTGGAGAATTTGCAGGTAACCATCAGGTTGTTGGGGAGACCAACTGTGAAAACCGGATACCAACAGAGATTTCAGCGACGCATCCAGATAGCAATGACGGCATGAATATCGAGTCTGCTGAGATAACTGAGCGGCGTCCATTATCTCCTCCCGCAGCGTGAAAAATAGTATTTCGGAGAGTTATCAATCATCGTGCATCCACTCGGCGAGCTTCGTCACTTCCATCTCAAGATACAGCATCTCTTCACCGTTGCGATTCTGTAGAGGGATTGCAAACGCTTTCCGAGCCTGCTGATTCCACTCAGTAGGACATTGATTGTCGATGGACGCCATAATATTTGCTCGCTCTGCAATCCACCGCTGTTCGGATTCCTCCAGCACTTCACTGTACGTGTTACCCATCCTAACGACCAGACAAAGAATATTAGTTGTGATCGTGTCAAAATGCAACAGTATACTTGACGTACATGGCGATAAGCAAGTTGACGAGGATGATCATGACGAGGACAACGTAGCACAGTACCAGCACTTGAGTGAGCGGATTCATACGGCCACCGGAGCCGTAGTTATCGTCATAATTGACCTCACCCGTGAAGCCCATGACTAATAGCGTACGCATCCTCAAAAACAGTGCATGGGGCCCAACTCGACCATCATGTACCACGTAAATGGCCTGCGAGAATCCGACCAAAACGGCGCTGTAAACTAAGAAAAACCGCACGATATCGTGTGCGATCATTCGCAAGATCATGATCACAAAGGGTCCAGTGGTGCGGAAGCCCAGCAAGAAGAAAAACATGTAAAACCAAGCGAAGATAAGTGCAACAGCGCCCAGAGCGTCTCCTACCTCCTGTTGATGTGCAAGTCTCGCGATTGTGGACGTAAAGAGCGAAATACTCGTCACAGTAGTGCAGATATTGTCCAGTCGACCAGCATCTCCTTCCGTCACGTAGCCTTGAGAGTTGAGCAGCATCTGGTTGCTCTCGTTCATAAACTTCAAAGCGGCTAGCAGTAGTGCCCCCACTTCGGCGAAACCCAGTCCTGTTGCGTCTCCCCGTGAGCCATCGCTGTATTTGCTGTAAGGAGCGAGTGTAGTTGCATTCAGCAGCATAAGGAAGACACAGTAAACTGCCAGACGCCAGAGAAATCGCTGCTTTCCAACGTACTTCCACTTTTTGTGCAAGAGTTGCTGGATTTCCATCATTTTCAGCATTTCAAGCCGCTTTGACACCATTTCTTGTATCACTTTGTGGTTATCCTGAAGCGTACTGGAGATTTTCTCAGTCGAGCAGAGACATTGGATGGCAGTCCGATAACCTTTTCTTCCTTTTGGTGCTAATGGATACGGTAAGGACTCGATTAAGTCGTGAATACGTTGAAAGCGCCCGAAGTCTGGAGCTGGTCGCAATTCTGGCTGCTCGAGATCGAACAACGGCACGTGGATCGCAGTGATGGGGCCATAGCGCCACGCGATCGAAGACGAATGGTTGAAGAGATGCTGAAACATTCGCTGTTGACCGATAGCCGCAGCGAGAGATAGCGGAGTCAACTCGTCGGAGTTGCGATGCATCAGAAAGCAAAGCATTCGCTCGTATCCAGAGTCGCTGGTGCTTTGGAGAAATTCCACTAGGTTGATGTCGCCCTCTCTATAGTCAATCGTCGCAGGAGGGGGTTCTTTCATCGATAGTGACGACTTTCCTGGACTTTGTACGACTACCATGTTCTCCACCTCATGCGTCTCATTATCTGGTTTCTCCTCATATATTACCGGACCAACTTTGGTCGGCGTAAGTTGCTTGGACAGCAGCCTAATGACGTACCGTAACGCGAAATCGTAGACGTCGGGTAAGTCACGGATGACTGCGAGGTGGAGTACGTTATTACCGAACCGATCGCACGAGAAAATGGATGCTAGATCCTTCCCTTCGTCCTCCCCGTCTTGCAGTCGCTCTGCAGTCTCCAGAATATGCAGCGCCATCTCGATCTGGTTGGACGCAAGGGCGAAGAGCACAGGGGTTCCTCCAAAGTAGCATGCCTTTGTGGGGCTGAAAAACTTGCCGGTGGTCTCAGCACGCACCAGCTGTGGTACCTCGCGTACGAGCCACTGAACGAGCTCTGTCTGGCGGTGAATAATAGCGATGTGGAGAATATTTTCGCCTTCGTATGGTGAAGGTTCACATGGATTGTTGGATGTGTATGTAACGGAGGCGAGTACTCTGCATCTCAGTACAATGCGCTTACCAAGCTCGTAGTGGCCAAATAGGAACGCGATATGCACAGGAGCTGCCCCCACCGAGTCCCGCAGCGTCAAACAATTTTCATCCGTGGCGATGAGACGGAGCACAGCATTGGTGTCATTGGCTCGCACTGCTCCGAAGATACCTTCGTCGTGGTCCAGTACTTGCTGCGCCACCACATCCACCTTAGCCTTGGCAGCGGTACGCAGCCAATGCAGATGACTGGACACGCGATGCCGCTGCTTGGGGCGCACCGATCTCCGCCCGATGGAGTTCATGTCCAGTGTAGCCATCCGTCGCTTCAACATCGGTTGATAGCAATGTGCACCACATTATTTAGTGTTCAAGTGGTGTAAAACACTTTTGAGACTGACGAAGCGGTACGGACTTCGTGGACGGCAGCTCTTCAAACAAGCGAAGCCTCGACACTTGTCCGACCGGCAAGGTGAGGACTGCAACTATGACTGTGGACAATGCGTTTATTTGGTGCATTAAATGCTGACGGCTAGTGTTGCATTTTGACAAGCAGAGAACAACAGAGAACAGCACAATGCAGGACAAGCAGAAGCCGCCGTCGTTCCCGAATTTGCCCAAGAGCGCATGTTCGTCGAGTTTAGCAAAAGTGAATGTGGCTCTGTGGCTGTTATACTAATGTATTTAATGCGCTCGATTGCATTGATGCTGCTTCTTCGACAGTATTTTCCAAGCTGGAAGCGTTCCTGCCAGTAATGGCCGAGGAAAACAAGAAGCTGAGCGAGGCTGTAGCAGCTGGCGAAGGTGCCAAGCACAACATTGAAGTGGAAGAAGCCGAGGACCCGAGTGACAATGACGGCGACGATTCTATGACTGGTGGCAACGAGGAAAAGAAGCAGAAGAAGGACGGCAAAGCTCCTGTAATTGAAATGGTGCGTTGCAGCGGTGAATTGTGGTGACGACGCGAACTGCGTGTTGCCCTCGTGTCATGTTTTGCTAATAACAGCGATGTGCTTCGCTGCAACAGAATTTCGCGCTGGGTATGATGGACGAGGACGATAGCGACACGGAAAAGCCGGACGCAGCAGTCGACCCAGAGGCACAGATCAAGGTGGCAACCGCCACAAAGGTAGTTGATTCGAGTTCAGGTTCGAAGCAGGAGGAGGAATCATCGTTTAAGATGCGGCTGGAGAAGCCGAGCAACAAGCCACGCCCAGTTATCCAGGAGCTGAATTGATGAGGCAGCAGCGAACCACATACGGATGTTAGTTGGAAATATTTACTACACGGAGAAGAGGAGCCTTATGGCTCCGATAAAAGTGAATGATACACACGCTGAAGTACATGTAAACTAGCTTTGGTACGTTGAAGCGATCAGCGAATCGTCTGCCTCCTATTATGTCGGTGTGCACACCCACTTTTGGAAAAGCGAACCACCGCACTTTTGAGTTAATGTGCGAAAAGCTTATGCGCGACTCCGCATCTTGATATTAGTATGATGTACTGAATTTTAAACCTGGATAAATGCTTGCAGCTCACAGCGGTATTTACTGGATGCCGCAAGTCTTTGCAACTTTGACCGTGACCCCAGAAACGAGGGGGACTGCTGGTGGTTCATGACAGTCTCCAAAAGCCACCCCTAGTCGTAGACCGATCGTCAGCAGCATGTTCTACCAGCTCTCGCAGAACGCCTCGAAGGGCAAGACCATGGCCGTCATCATCCCCACCTTGATTGGCGCGGCATACGGCACTTTCGCCTTCTTCCGCTACACTGGTGCGTCCACACAGCTGCATTTCCAAGGTGCGGAACTATGTTTATTAATTGCTCTATTTGCTGTTAATAGGCCCGGATCTCGGCGGTGCCGTGCGCGGCGAGCCCAAGACTACGTCGGCTGAGTGGCAGGCTGCTTCTGTGGAGTACGGCAAGGCCCAGAAGGCCAACCCCATCCGCCACTTCAAGGACTAAGTACAGATCAGCAGTCGAGCCGTGCGGCCCTCCTCCTCCTGTAATTATTGGCCGCGGCGGGGTGGAGCGAGCGGCTGACTACAAGGGGGGGGACGTCAGGCCGAACAAAGCAGACGCGTTGATACCCCCTCGTCTTCCGCACGTCAACACTCATGAATAAAAAACACAAGAAAAAAAAATCAACAATCTTCCCCGCGGAAGCAACGCTTGTCATTATTGAGTTGGTCTAACATCGAAGACGACTCTGGTGCCTGCAGCAGCAATAGCCTTCCACTAGCAGACTACCATTCGACTGGCATGACCTATTCGTGACCTTATCTATCTGTTCATGCCGTGGGTATTCCTTTTTGCTGTATGCGTAGGCAAGTAAACGATGTTAGTAGGCGCTCCTCAGCAGCACCAACAGCATTGTTTAGCAGTGACACGTACCAGCTCTGCGACCTGGGCTTTGCGCTTGGCCTCAGCGGTGTTCCAGCCGTCAATAGCTCGCTGCCGTAGTCTATTCTCCGCTTCTTCCTCGTCCTTCAGCTGCTGCTCGTCCTCGTCGTCGCGGAATCCGTAGTAGTCTGGTTCGATGTGCTTGTACATATCCTGTCGAGTGCGTTTACGAGGCTCGATCTCCTCCGTCTGGAAGAGCTCGCGCACACCTGGGAGGTTCTTGGCTGCACCAAAGTACTTGTAACCTCCAACCGAACTCACTGGGGTGCCGTCTGCATCGTAGGCCTGTGGCTGTGACTTGCTGTAGTCCGGCCCACCCAATTGTACGATCCTCCGCTCCCAGTGGCGCTTCTCGCGGATGCGCTTGTTGATCTCGTCGTTCAGGTCTCGGATCACATGCTCGCTGGAGCCGGCTGGCAGCAGCAACCAAGTCAACATGAAGCTCGATAGCAATAGATAGAGACTGCAGCACGCACCATTCTGGATGTCCGCCACCTTCTTGGAGATCTCGCGGATAATCTGCCGTCTCCAGCGCTCAGCTTCCTTCAGGTTGTCACACTGCGAGGCGAGATACGGCCGCCGACTGCAGCAAACAGCAATAACGTTAAAGACACGATAGATGCATGCAAAGCCAGCGCCGCTCACTTCTTGAAGGTGTCCGCGAAGTCCTGCTTCATGGACGTCCATCGGTTCAGCAGCGACTGCGCCTTCTCCTCGTTGCGAGCCATCTTGTGCTGTGCGTCGAAATTGGCAAGTACCAATTACCCGCGTCGGTTTGTGACGTGTTACTTTGCGATCGACCTAAAAGTAGCGCAAAGAAGTGCGTAAAAAGCAGTTTTTTTATCAAGAAAAAAACATCTTTATTTTGACAACTTCAAAATAATTATTGGAAAAAACACTTTGTTGTAGCAGAGAGTGACTTGTTAGAAACACTTTTCCTAGGAAAGCGCTTTTTTTAAAAATCACGTGGTGCACACCACGCACAACTTAACCAAAATTATCCTTTCAACCAATCACGATAGCTCTTCCAACATGGGGCTCACACTTCCCGACTTGGTGACGCATGACAATGGTGGGGTTCTTGACCGCGGCGACTCGCTCGGCTCCGCTGCTGCGCGGGCGACTGTTCTCGACGATCAAGCCACAGGTGGCGGCCTACGACCTGGTGGTGATCGGCAGCGGCCCGTCCGCCACGCAGTGCGCGCTCGAGTCCGCCAAACAGGGCAAACGCGTGGCCATCGTGGACAAGAAGACGCGCCTGGGCGGCGTGTGCGTCCACACGGGCACGATCCCGTCCAAGACGTTCCGCGAGGCTGTTCTACATCTGTCAGGCTATCGCCACCACGGTTTCTATGGCAAATCGTACAGTATGAAGACCGTGACGATCGAGGACATTCTGTATCGTGTGCAGCGCGTCGTGAGCTCCGAGGAGGACGTGGTGCGTGCCCAGCTCAAGGCTGCGAGAGTGGACGTCGTGCCAGGCTTTGCGCGCTTCGAGAACGAGCACGAAATCTCCATCGTCCGAGACGACAACGACCAGAAGAAGAAGAACGGCGCAGTCTCAGGCAGCAGCAGCAATCTGGACTCGCTCTCTCGCATCAGAGCCGACAAGTTCCTCATCGCATGCGGCACGAGACCCGCGCACAACCCGCTCATCCCCATCGACGGTAAGGTCGTCATTGACAGCGACCAGATCCTCAGTCGCGACATGCACCAACTGCCTCGCTCGCTCATCGTCTTGGGCGCCGGCGTCATTGGCATGGAATACGCGTCCATGGTGAACGTCGTGCCTGGCCACACAGTCACAGTGGTGGATGGACGACCAGATGTGAGTGTTTTTAAGTACTAGAGACGAGAGAATTGTGGACTAACGGAAGTGTTATCCGCAGATTCTGTCCTTCTGCGACAGCGAGATCATCAGCAACCTCACGTACGAGATGCAGAGCAATGGAGCGCGTTTCCTACTGGGCGAGACCGTCAAGAAAGTAGAGGTACGTTAACGTTATGACGAGTTGGTTGACAACCGTTATCTAACCTTTACGCTACTTCCAGACGACGGACAAGCGAGTTAAGGTGTTTTTTAACAGCGGTAAGGTGCTCAGTGCCGACGCGCTGTTGTACACCGTGGGTCGACAGGCAGCCACAGACGGACTGAACCTGGAAGCGGTGGGGCTCTCTCGTAATCATCGCGGCCTGATCAACGTGAACAAGAACTACCAGACTGACCAGCCTCACATGTGAGTGTGCAGTATCTCTTTATATCCTCTATCTTCGTACTCATTCTATTGCTGGCTTATCTCTTCTAGTTACGCTGCTGGTGACTGCATTGGAGCTCCAGCACTGGCCTCCACGAGCATGGAACAAGGCCGTCTGGCGTCGTGCCACATGTGGAATCCGGACGAAGAACTCGCCGCTACGAGCCAACTAGAGAACGGCAACTACCCGTACGGCATCTACACAATCCCAGAGATCTCGATGGTGGGGCAGACGGAGCAGCAACTCACGAAGGATTGCGTCAACTACGAGATTGGAATCGCCAAGTACTCGGAGCTGGCTAAAGGCCAGATGATGGGGGCCATGGCTGGCGGCACGTTGAAGATTCTGTTCGATCCTGACACACTCAAGGTGTTTGGTGTGCACGCCATCGGAGAGGGAGCGACGGAGATTATTCACATTGGACAAGTGGCGATGGCCATGGACTGCTCTCTCACGTACTTCCGCGATGCTGTCTTTAACTATCCGACGCTGGCCGAAGCTTACCGTGTCGCTGCGTTGAACGGACTGGGTCGTCTCAGTCGTAACACTTACGATCACTAAAGCAAGTGGTGGACACATGACAAGTTAGCTGTCTACCTCATGGATAGACTGTGCAATCGAAATATAGGGGAGTGTTTTCCCATGGAAATCGGAGTTCCAACAGCGTAAAGCGGGGGAAAGGTGACGTTAACTCGATATACTAACTTTTACCCGCATTGTAGCAACACGGACATTGGGATATCTCTAGAGTTCGCCGAGTCGAGTAGTTGATACTCCCCAGAGCTCATGCCTGTGTATTCTTCCACTTCGTCTTCTCGGAATGGTAAAATAACTGCGTATATACCAGATCTAGTACTGCTAACCTCGTTGTGGATCTTGTAGAGATAGAGCTGGATGCCAAGCACTCGAAGCCAGAATAAACTCCACGGATCGGTCATCATAGCGACGTTCATCAGCTGGATAATAGAGCGATACTCTGTCGACCAGCAATGCACTCCACGTCGCAAATTACCAGTAACTGCAAGACTAAATCCCCTCATTTGTCGAGGGATCATATCGATCGTTGGTGACGAAGCCACGTGGGGTTTGCTTCGTCCTTGTCGAGGCATTGGATGTCTCGTCGCAGCGTGGAAGCGAATGCTCATCACAGACGCCGGCCACAGAGACCTCGCCCCACCGGGGACAACAGGCGTCGAGCTCAGGACGACTCCTTCAGTCTCTCGACGTATCCAGCTGCTTGTCGACGTGAAAGATCCTAAGAACTTGATGATGATCGCCACCGTCATGACTGCGCCGATACAGAAGAGCAGCATGGTCGCGCTGTCATCGAAAATATACGACGAAGAGTTCATGTACCTGCCAGGACTGCAGTGGATAATGTCCATAGTTGATCCTTCATCAGCAATTCGAAAGACACTGGTGATGTTCGTGTCTCGTAGCAAGGATTTCTTGTATGGACCGCATATTGTCAGAGTGGATGTGAAACTTATGAGAAGACCACGAACGCCTGGAACGCCGTCGTGCCAATGGTCTCGAGTCTTTCTAATGACGAAAACTAGCACGAAGCCAAGTAGTGCCAACAACCAAACGTTGCGCATCTGAACAGCAGTCGTATCAACAAATGCCATGAGCTCAAAATTGACAGAACCAGCCACAGAAGCCCAGTACGAGTCGAGGAAAATGTCCATGAAGCTGCTGTCTAGCACCAGCGCTACGACGTAGAAACTGACAGGCAACAAGCTCGAGTACACGATGACTTGGAAGGGAATCTTCAGCACGATCTTAGCAGTCGACACCCAGCGATAATTCGACGTTATCTTACCATCAACACTCGGCTTAGCAGCAACATACGCGCCATACGTCAATAGGGCCAGACGGATCCACACGTACGTCTGCGCACCACCTCGCAGCATGGAAATGAAGCCATACCAGTCGATGAGATTCGTCTGAACGATATCGCGTTCATAGCGGTAGTCGTCCACGAATACGGTTCTACAAGTGGTAGAGTTATTGACCTTCTCGCAGCGTCTACCTCGAGTGAAAACGACAATCTCGAGCGCTTCGTAGTTGTAAAAAGTGGACCGCATGGCCCCCGATGTGGATGAAAGTCTTTGCGAAGAAACCACTGCCACATCGAGTTCCAAGTCCGGATATTGTTGATGCAATGATTGAAGACGGAGGTCCATGTGATCCCGTAGTCGGATGTCCGGCAGTGACTCGTTGAGTGGATGTTTGCATTTCCAGATACCTGGATGATTGCAGAATCTGGGTCGAGGGGGAGATCGCTGTTTAATGCCGTTATGGGAGCATATCTCAAGTGATTTCATGTTGCGTAAGTTCTGCATTACATGCAGTGAATGCAATCTCCATGCTGGGTTCTTGGATGCAAAACTGACTACGTAGTGGTGGATTCGGTCGACCCAGTTGTGTTTGGTGGCATATCGTACATTATCTTCTCGTCTTAGATGGGAAACTGCTGCAGTGATGAAGCCATCGATCATAGTAAAGGTGGTATTCAACGGGAGCAGACTATCTGCATTCGCTCCTGGTTGATTCGATTGTGGTTTGTAGAGCAAGAAAGGTGGAAATTCAGGCACATTGAGTAGTTCCACAGCACCTCGAAGACCGACAGACGTCGTGTCGTATTGATATGACCATACTCGAGCAGCTGAAATGGGCTCAACACCTTTGACTCCTTCGAATTGTGCCGATAAGATGTCACCAGTTTCATCGCCACTGCTACCATTTTTGTTGTCTGGACGCCAGATATGTACGACGGGGTAGCTGAATGGTCCGAATCGAACGGCAGTGCTGGGCATTAGTGGAATTGGATAGTATTCTTGCAGGTTTCGTACTCCGAGACCTGTTCTTGGGATGTCTGTCATGAGTAACGCAAGTGATACGAGTGTGATGACACATCGAAGCTTGGAGAGGACGATACAGTTGTGAATATCTGGATGGGGTAGGAGTTTGTGCCACTTACACGTTCTGTGCCATGTGATGGTTCTAGTGCTATGACTCTGATGTCTGTTGTCGGCGTCTCCAGTCTGCCACTGTCCCTTTGTAGCTGGTGACAGTGGATGTATCACTGTCATTGTGCTAGTGCCTCTCAGAGTGTGAGGCTGTGTGAGCCGCATTTTTGGATCACGAAGGTAACGGATGCAGGTCCACGTATAGCTCGGTTTGCCTATAGTACTCGTCTTGATGAATAGATACTATTTTACCCGCATTGAAGCAGTATGAACATCGGAACGTCTCGTGAGCTCGCAGAGTCAAGAAGTTCGTAGTCTTCGACGCTTAACCCCGTGCGTTCTTCGATTTCGTCTGGCGCATACGGTAAAATGACGGCGAATGGCAAGAAACTTTTACGATCGCCTGGAGAAGGTCGAATTTGGTACAAGTAAAGCTGGACCCCGATAGCTCGAAGCCAGAAGAAATTCCACGGATCCGTCATCATAGCGATGTTCATGAGTTGTACAATGGAGTGCGATTCGATGCTGCGTGTAGTCAACGCTCCAGTTAATAGCTGAGTTCTCCTGAAATCCTCAGCAATGTCCTTTACACAACAAAAAAGCCACGAATACCATCGACATCTATGAGATGACGAGTCCGTAGTGAGGAATGTTCGTGATGAGCCTCGTGCGTTTGGAGGAGGCGATGGAACAACTCGGGACGCGCCGGAAACTGGTGAGAAATACTGTATCTGCGTGCGGTTTGTTGCTTTGGACGTAGGCGTATTCGGAGCCTTCTGTAGACGAATCGGGGCTCTAAAGTGGATAATTGGCGATGTGGTCGTCCAGAGACGTTCGATCCCGTATGGAGAAATTTGTGAGAATCGGAATATCATTCCACGAATAATGTGGTAACCTCTGGAAGTTGTAGGTGACATATATCCCAAAAGTTTGACAGCCATGGCACATCCACCCACTGCTGTAACACACAAGCGCATGGTTTTCAAACTGTTACCGAAGAAGTAGGACGATGAATTCAAATAATCTCCTGGGATCGTCGAGCGCACGATGTCCATCGTCGGACCTTCGTCGGGGATGCGAAAAATGCTCGTGATGTTCATATCACGATAGTAGACGCTCTTGTACGGTCCAAAGACTGTGAGTGAAGCTGTCAAGCTGATCACAAGTCCACGAATCCCAAGGATTCCTTCACCATTGCATCGCAATCTTCTCATAGCGAATAACACACCACTTGCCAACAGAGCCAGCAACCAGACGCAACGCATTTGTACTGACGTTGTCTGGATAAATGGGACCCACTTCAAGTTGACAGCTCCTCCTACTGAAGCCCAGTATGAATCCAGAAAGATATCCGTAAAACTATTATCCAGAACAAGAGCTCCCACGTACATACTAACAGGCAATAAACTCGAGTACACGATGACTTGGAAGGGGATCTTGAATACTATTGACACCATCGATACCAACCGGGAGTTCGATCTCCAAGTAGCAGTGTACGCCCCATATCCCAGCAATAATACTCGAATCCACACGTATACCTGTGCACCACCTCGTAGTATCGAAACGATCCTGTACCAGTCGACCAGATTAGTCCGAACTATATCGCGCTCGTAGCGATAGTCGTCTACAAACACCGCCATGCACGTTGTGATCTTTGTACCAGAATCCTCGACACAACGTCTGCCTCTGGTTAACACGACGATTTCCAGTGCCTCGTAGATGTAGAAAGTAGAGCGTTTTCCTCCCGATGTGGACGACGGTCTCTGCGAAGATACCACTACCACATCGAGTCTTAAGTCTGGATATTGTTGCTGCAATGATTGAAGACGCAGGTCCATGTGGTCCCAAAGTCGGACGTCGGGCAATGACGCGTTCAGTGGATGTTTGCATTTCCAGATACCAGGATGATTGCAGAAGCGAGGACGTGGCGTAGATCGTTGCTCGAAGCCGTCCTTGGAGCATATCGCAAGCGCATTGTGGGAGATGTTGGGGGCATGTAGCGAGTGTAATCTCCAAGCGTAATTCTTGGCAGCAAAGCCGGCGAGGTAGTGATGCAGACGGTCGATCCAGTTGTGCTTCGTGGCATATCGCAGTACTGGTGAGTTTGTTTTTGTTGGTCGTAGATGAGTCCGTGAGGCGGTAATCAAGGCATCGAGCATGCTGAAGACTGTGCCGAGGTCCACTAGACTGGTTGCGTTTGTTGCTGGTTGACCAGGTAGTGGCTTGTAGAGCAAGAAGGATGGGAACTCAGTCACGTTGAGCAATTCGACAGCCCCACGCAGACCGACCGAGGTTGAGTCGTATTGATATGACCATACTCGAGCGGCGGAAACTGGTTGGACACCCTTAAGCCCTGTAAAGACGGGAAAACTGTTGCCACTATTGTTTCCATTGTCTCGATGCCAAATGTGTAAAACCGGGTAGTTGAACGGTCCGAAGCGAACCGCAGTACTGGGCATGAGTGGGAAAGGATAATAATCTTGCAGATTGCTGACTCCAAGACCCGTACGGGGTATATCGGTAACGAAAAGTACGAGAGATACAAGTGTGATGATACACCTCAGTTTGGAGAACGCAATACAGTTGGTAATATCTGGTTCTGGTAAAAACCTTTTCCATCCACTTGTCCTCTTCCAGGCGAGTGTCCTGGCACTGCGAATTTTGTCAGAGACTGACTGCTCCTCGTCTTGATGGCCATGTCTTAACGGTGTCGGTAGACGTATAGATGGCATGGATTGAGCAAGTAGTTCTGCCCTGCTGCGTCTGGAGCGAGCTCCTAGCAGAATTCACAGTACTTGAAGAAACGGATCACGCCCCAGTTTAGCTTTCGGCCAGCAACTTGAAAAAATATTCATACTCGGTCGTGTGGTCCGTCTCATACTCCTTTTTCTTAAAACAAATTAAACATTGAGAATAATCGAATGAACAACGTTGCACACCGGCAACAGGTTTATATTTCGTTGTTGAGTTTACCACTCACTGGGGCGAAACGAGACTGCAGACCGAAGTACTTGGTCTTCTACCCGCACTGGAGTAGGATGTGCATAGGAACATCTCGGGAACTCACCGAATCGATGAGTTGAAGCTCGCCAGAGCTCAGCCCAACGAGCTCTTCCATTTCATTTTCTGAGTAAGGCAAAATAACGGCGTACGGCAGGAAACTGCTGACTGGGGATGGAGTGGATCGAATTCTGTACAAGTACAACGGAATGCCAACCACACGAAGCCAGATGAAATTCAACGGATCAGTCATCATGGCAATATTCATGAGCTTTAGGACGGAGTGAGATTCTGCTGTCCGTGAGCGCAAGCCCCTCGGACTAGAGCTCTCGAAGACTTGTCTCGACTGGAGAGGGAACGGAGCAATGCGAGATGTGTCGAGGTTCGTAGAAAATGGTCTCAGTATTTGTGGTGTGATTCTCGCGATATTTGGTTGGAGTTCACTTGTCTGTACGTCGAATCGAATACTTAACGTGGAAGTTGGCCACAGACGCTCTGTGCCACACGGAGCATTGCGTGTTGATATCAATACCAACCCTCGTTCAATTCTCATCAAGTTGGCCACTATTCTCGCAATACTCGTGATCCCTGCAACCACAGCAACACAGAAGAAAAGCATCGTCACGCCATCGTCGAACAGATACGTTGACTCGTTGAAATACCATTGAGGAAGCGCCTGGACTGTAGTCATCGTTTTACCAACACTGGACAGTCGAATGACGTTTACAATCCTCGATGAACGATAACTGGTCTGTTTGTATGGCCCAAACACTGTCAACGCTGACGTAAAGCTGATTACCAGTCCGCGAATACCAGGAAGCTTCCCTTCCAAGCCGCTCCTGTTTTTCCTCACCACACACCCTATCAACCCCACTATCAGCGCAATTAACCACACAGTTCGCATCTGCGTTATCGTCGAGCGAAAGAAAGGTACAATCTCAAAATTTGTTGCTCCTTCGAGAGAAGACCAGTACGAGTCAAGGTAAATGTCCATAAAGTTGCCGTCAAGGAGGAGTGCCACCACGTAACATGCCACTGGCAAAGGGCTGCTGTACACGATCACCTGAAACGGGATCTTGAGTACAATTAAAACAGTGGAAGCCACACGTGAGTACCAATGACACTGTCCATCTTCCGTCTGTCTCGCAACGATGAACGCTGTTCGATAAAGTAGAAACAATCGCATCCAAAAGTAACCTTGGGCACTTCCACGCACCATTGCAACGAAGAAATACCAGTCGACGATATTTGTTTTAAGCGTCCCACGTTCATAACGGTAGTCGTCGATAAAAACTGTTGTACATTTTCCTTCGTTGTCGTTGCTAGTGCAGTTTCTTCCTCGCGTTAGCACAACAACTTCCTGCTCTTCGAAGTTGAAATAGGTATATCTCAAAGTCCCTGAAGTCATAAGTGGCCGATGAGTTGAGATCAGAGCCACATCCAGCACAAGGTCTGGATATTGATGCTGAAGATCCTGAACTCGTAGATCAATGTGCTCTCTCAGTCGAACTTCAGGGAGCGATGCATTTATCGGATTTTCACATTTCCAGATTCCAGGATTACTGCAGAATCGAGGGCGAGATGGCGATATCAAGCAAACCCCCAGCGACTGATCTTCTGGTGCTTTCCTTAAGACGTGTAGCGAGTGAAGACACCAGGATCGTCTCGGCTTAACAAAACGCGTCAAATATTGCTGGATACGATCGACCCAGTCGTGTCTCGTGGCAAAGTGAAACCCTGTTGAATCACTTATACGCTGGGCTTGTGCTGCTGAAATGAAAGCATCGAGCATGAAAAACGCAGTTCTGAGACTTATTATGCCCTTCTGGTTGTTCCTCCTTCCCAACTCACCGCGATAGAGCAGCTCACGCGGAAAATCTGCCACATTGAGCAACTCCACAGCACCCCGGAGACCCAAAGATGTTGTGTCATATTGGTAGGCCCAAACGCTTGCCGAATTTACGAGATCTGGCCCATCGAGACCTTCAAATGTGTCCGTATTGTTAATTCTGCGTCGAATGTGCGTGACCGGGTAAGCGTACGGCCCGAAGCGAGTTGCAGTGTCAACCATGAGATGTGCTGGATAGTAGTCGGAAAGACTTTTAACACCCAGACCCGAGCGAGGGATATCTGTCACAAGTAATAGCAGGGAGGTGATTGAGATGACACAGCGTAACTTGGAAAGAGTCAGGTGATTACTAATGTCAGGACGGAGCAAGAGCATTTGCCACTCATGCTCTTTATCGCATTTACTGGGCCGTCTACTAAATACCACATCTTTCTTCGCTGTCTGGGGGCCCTGCTTGGAGCACGTGGTCGTATTCATTCGTTATATCCATTGAGTGCATGCATAATTTGGTGGTCTAAATGGGACCTTTGCTGCGTAACGGATCCATTTGTGGATATTGGTGAAGGGATGTAAGTTTGGCCGAAAATTCGGGTGTGCTGCTATGTTGTCATGCACATATCCTCCTTCAACGGCGTCGTGAATTAGCGTAACGCTGAAATTAGCTGAATTATTAAAGACGCCAAGGTTTAGAACCGTCAACTGTCACAGTACAAATTATTCAAACCAAGTATATTTATTCTCAGTCTTTCAAAACTCATAGGGCTACATTTTAAAAGCTTAAAGTAATATATTCTTGTGCCAAACCAACAGGGCCATAGATACTAAAACACTAAGACAAGCCTTGCTCATCAAAGCAGTCATACAGGATCAAATTTACCTTTTCACAAATGCTGCCTGTACGTGTATATGTATACGCACGTGGTACCGGTAAGATTCAATCCTTCCCTTAGAGAATGACTTGTTTTTACACTGTACTGAAATATTGGTTCCAAGTTTTGTCAAATTGCAAACAGTTTTCGACAGCTATGAGGTTTGAACTCACGCGGGTTACCCCAATGGATTTCAAGTCCATCGCCTTAACCACTCGGCCAAGCTGTCAGTGTGGTAAGACATGAGACATAAAGAATAAAATTAGATATTCAATAAAACGAAGCAAACAAAAAGAAACATCTAAATCAGAGTATCCAGTTTGGCAACAAGGACGTCCTTTTGTTGCTCTTCTGGGAGGGCAGATCTGCTTTTGAGCTCACATCGAAGCGTATGCTGGAACTACAAGTACAAAGGTATCATACAATTTGGGGAAATAGCCCTGGATAAACGGAATTATTTTACATTGACCTCAGATAATTTACAAACAAGATAGAACGGCTTTCGCCCAATTTGGATTCACTCGAGGGCCGTGATGTGAATACATGAACAAATGCGGCAAAGTGCTTCAACAAGTGCGTTTTTACCCTGATTGTAGCAATACTGACATTGGTACATCTCGGGAGCTAGCAGAGTCGAGCAGTTGGAGGTCAATGGAGCTCAGTCCTGTGCGCTCCTCTATCTCATTCTTTGCAAATGGTAAGATGACAGCATAGAAATCGAAGCTATTGTCAAGACCAGATCGAGTTTTGTACAGATACAACTGGACTCCAAGCGCTCGTAGCCAAAAGAAATTCCACGGATCGGTCATCATCGCGATGTTCATGAGCTGAATGACGGAGCGGCATTCCGTGGAATTATAACTCGCCTTTCCCAAAAGATTTCTCCGATCTGTCCACTTTAAATTGGGCTGTATGACAGTGTGGAATGAGCCCACCTTCGTTAATAGAGAACCTTGTTTCTGGGGTGTTCTCTCAGACATACCAGTCACCCGCAGTCGTACAGAAAACTGCACACTCGATACGGATGCCAACCAAAGTCTCTGTGTCCCGCAAGGAATAGTTGGAGTTGAACTCAAAATGATATCTCGAGTTTCACTTTTAGTACGCGAAGCATTCAAAATTTTGATAGTTGATGCCAATCCGATAACAACTCCGATGCAGAACAGCAACATCACCGCGCTGTCATCGAAGAAGTAGCTAGAGATATTATACTTCCCCACCAGGTTACTTTGAATAATATCCAAGTTCTGACCTTCATCGGCAATCAGGAAAAGATTTATGATATCGGTATTTCTCAGTGTAGTCTCCTTGTACGGTCCAAATACCGTCAGTGTCGATGTGAAGCTAATGACGAGACCGCGAATGGCAGGAAGCCCTTCACCCCAATAGTCTCGTGTCTTTCGTACTGCAAATACTGTCAAGGTTACAAGTAGCGCCAGAATCCACACATTGCGCATCTGCACTGCTGTTGACCTCAGAAATGTCAATAAGTTTATCTTGATCGTGCCTCCCACTGCAGCCCAGTACGAATCAAGGAAAATATCCATAAAGCTGCTATCCAAAAACTGCGCAATGACGTATCCACTAACAGGCAACAAGCTGGAGTACACGATCACCTCGAACGGGATTTTACACACAATGGACATCGTCGATTTGAAGCGGGAACTAGTGCCAGCCTGGACACCAGCCAATTGACCGGCAGCTGTGTAAGCTCCATACATCAGCAAAACTAAACGAATCCAGACGTAACCTTGGGCTCCTCCTCGCAACATCGAAATAACCCCATACCATTCGACTAGATTCGTTCGGACAGTGTCTCGCTCATAGCGGTAGTCGTCTATGAAGACGGTCGTGCACAAGGTGGTGTTTAGACTTGACTTTGAATCGTTGATACAACGCTTCCCTCGCGTTAAAGCCGTGATTTCCAGCGCTTCATAATTGTAGAAAGTTGAGCTCAATACTCCTGAGGTCGATGACAGCCTCTGCGAAGATAGCAAGATCACTTCCAGTTCCAAAGTAGGATATTGTCGTTTGAGTAACTCATAACGAAGGTCTATGTGCTCCCAAACCGGAACAGTAGGTAGCGATGAATTTAACGGATGTGTATACTTCAAAATGCCAGGGTGGTTGCAGAAGCGGGGGCGTAGTGGAGATCGTTTTGCGACTGCAGAGTTCGAGCAGATTCCAAGCGACTGCGTATCACGTGAGGTATAAGGTACATGGAGAGAGTGTAGACGCCAGGCAGGGTTTGTCGAAGCAAAACTAACGACGTAGTGGTGGATTCGATCGACCCAATTGTGTTTCGTGGCAAAGCGCAGTGCCTTGAGCTTACAATTCGATGCTGGCCGTAATTTGGCGTGGGCAGCGGCAATGAGAGCATCAAGCATGTTGAAGGCTGTGCTCAAGTCAACGAGACTCTCTCCATTAGTCGTTGGTTCATTTTCTTGCGGCTTGTAGCGTAAATAACGCGGAAATTGGGTCACATTGAGCAGGTCTACAGCTCCTCGCAGTCCGACAGAGAGTGTATCGAACTGGTACGGCCACGCTCGAGCTGTGGAAATTGGTTGAGAGTCTCTAAGTCCTGTGAATGCTGAGGATGTATTGTCACTCTCAGTGTCATTGTTTAAACGCCAGATATGCACAACGGAGTAGTCGAATGGTCCGAAGCGGACGGCGGTACCGGGCATAAGCATGATCGGGTAATATTCTTGTAAGTCGTAAATTCCGAGCCCTGTTCGTGGGATATCGGTGATAAGAAGAGCAAGTGATACCATTGTGAAGATCAAACGTAGCTTGGAGAGCGCGATGTATTTGGGAATGTTCGGTTGTGGAAGGAATTTGTGCCATGCTCTCGTCCTCTCCAATGTCAACGTCCTAGTACTGTGGTTGCTGTCTGCTGTGATGTCCTCTACTAGCACTGAAGCTGGGGCTTTGTCACACCACGTTGACTCCTGCGGGCGGATTCGTGCCATGGAGTTAACTAAACCCCCTGACGACTAGAGAACCAGTTAAGGCATGGATGCACTATATGTGCATTATCGTTGAAAACGGACGATATGCTCCACGTTTAGCTCTGGGATCTGGCCCGGAATATCCTGCTTTTGATGGAGGGGAGTCAAGATACTTGGTAGCCACTCACTATCCGCATTGAAGCAGTACTGACATTGGGAGATCTCTGGAACTTGCCGAGTCAAGCAGTTGAAAATCATCGAAGCTCAGACCCGTTCGTTCTTCCATCTCTTCTTTCGGATATGGCAAGATGACAGCGTACGATAGCAAACTGCCACTGTCGTCGACATCTTTGGTCATTGATCGAGTGGGGTGAATCCTGTACAAGTATAGCTGGATGCCAAGCACGCGGAGCCAGAAGAAATTCCACGGGTCTGTCATCATAGCGATGTTCATGAGCTGCAAAATGGAGTGAGATTCTGCTGTACGCGAGCACAGACCGCCAATTGGTGGTTGAGCCTTCTGAACTGTTGGTGTGACGCGCTTTCTACAGTACAAGTCGCACAGATATCGTCGAATTCTGCTTTGAACCGCTGTTGTTTCTGACAGTTCTGCAAAAGTTGATGGAGAGACTTTCGAGTTGTTGAAATATGACGAGCGCACTGGCGAGGCTGGCAAATACTGCGGCTCAGGAGAATTCTTTATGACACTCTGTCGCAAAGTATAACGATCGTATTGGTATGCTGTGGAGTTGGTCAACGTGTTAAACCGAACACTAAGTGAAGACATTGGCCAGAGAAACTCGGTACCATACGGGACGTTGATGGTGGATATTAAGACCAGACCTTGATCAGCGCGTAGATAGAAGCTCACCAACCTCAAGGCGCTCGTGATTGTTACTACAGCACCAATGCAGAATATCAGCATTGTCATGCTATCGTCAAACATATAGGTGGACTCGTTGAAAAACCATTGCGGAGTGGACATGACCGTGTCCATTCGTTGACCAACATCGGGAAGGTGAAGTGCTTTCACCACTTTTGAGTTCCTGAACGTGGTTTGTCTGTACGGTCCAATTATTGTTAATGCCGATGTGAAGCTGATTGCTAGTCCACGGATACCCAGGATCTTCTCTTCGGAACCGTTTATTCTCTTTCTCGCCACAAGGACCATTAAATCCACGAGCAATGCCATTAACCAAACAGTTCGCATTTGAGTCACTGCAGAATTTAAGAAAGACATAAACTCAAAATTTGAAGCCCCTTCTAGAGTGGACCAGTACGAGTCGAGGTATATGTCCATGAAATTTCCGTCTAGAAGGAGTGCCGCAACGTAGCAAACAACAGGCAGTAAGCTGCTGTACACGATAACTTGGAAAGGGATTTTAAACACGATCAAAACTGCCGATATGACACGTTTGTACCAGTAAATGGTATCATCTCCGAGCTCCTTACTAGCAAGAAAGGCAGTGTAATAAAGAAGAATTAGCCTGACCCAAAAGTAGTTTTGCGCAGCGGCACGCATCGCTGCAATAAAGAAGTACCAGTCCGCAACGTTCGTCTGGAGAATATTGCGTTCATATCGATAGTCGTCGACAAAGACCGTAGCACACTCGTCAAAATTTGGTGCAACTTTCGTTTCGTTTCCGCTACATCGTCTTCCTCTTGTTAACATGATAATTTCGTGCTCTTCGCAGTTGAAGAAAGTCAAACTCAGAGTTCCTGACGTCATGGAGGGTCGATGCGTTGAAAGAATTGCTACGTCCAGCTTTAAATCTGGGTATCGTCGCTGGAGATCTTGAAATCGGATGTCCATTTGTTCTGAAATCCGGATACGAGGAAGCGATACATTCAACGGATTTTCACACTCCCAAATACCTGAGTATGTGCAGAATCGAGGCTGGGGCTGTGGATATGGCATGGCAGTCGAGCATATTCGAAGCGTATTAGTCTGATGAGGTATTATCGGGACGTGGAGAGAGTGTAGACTCCAGAATTTGCACTGCCTAATGAACTGGGTCAGATATTGATGAGCTCGATCTACCCAAATGTGTTTCGTTGTGAAACGAATAGCGCCCCAAGAAGGGTTGATGGCACGATTATCTGGTAATATTTGAGCCTGAGCTGCACCAATGAACGCGTCCAGCATCAAAAACGTTGTGTTCAATCCCAGTACTGCTCTATGGTTGTTTTTCTTGCCCAATTCACCTCTGTAAAGTAAGTAGTCTGGATATTCGGTAACGTTAAGTAGCTCCACTGCACCACGCAGACCCACAGATGTCGTATCGTATTTGTAGGACCACACATTGGCTGAATCAACGGAGTCTGATCCTTCGAGCCCACGGAATGAGTCTGCGTCGTTGTTAATGTCTCGTATTCGCCAAATGTGCCTCACAGGGTAATCAAACGGTCCAAAGCGAACGGCGGTGTCCGGTTTAAGCGGCGGATAATACTCATCTAGTCGTCTTACACCAAGACCGGAGCGAGGGATATCCGTTGCAAGTAATAAAAGCGAAATGACTGAGATCACACAGCGCAACTTGGAGAATGCAAGACAATTGGCAATATCAGGACGAAGAAGAAGCGTTTGCCATTCGTGCACTCGCGGGTGTAGCGGCATCCTTTCTGGTTGACCTGTGCATGTCCATGGACGTCCATAAATTACGATATCGAGAAAAGTGTATTTTAAGAAGATGATTTATTAATATGTAAAGTGAGTTCACTGGTATTTTTTTTTTTATCTTCACTGTATATATATCCTACTTTCCAGCTCGACTTGCCTTATAGTTCAATCTGTTGTGTTCTTTCCCTAGATCGATGCACAAGCGTCATGCTTTCCACCTTGAACGCGTTCATAACCGGCGGATCAACATCGACACTTTTCGTTGGCACCAGCGTCTTCTTATACACGAGATCCGGGTAGGTTGCATTCGTCTTGAGCGCCACGAACTTCTCAGCAGTCGTCGTACCCGGCTCAAAGTACTCGGGACGTCGAATGGGGAAGATGAGGATGATGGACATGATCGCAACAAGGACGATGCACCCCACAAACGAAATCCAGAACGAGTTCGAAGGGATCGACATGGCGATCCGGCGAAGTTGTCGATCACCTTTGAGTTGTACGTTAGCGAGAAGATCTGATGATGACGTAGTGATCTTGGATGGTGAAGACGATGAAGAAGAAGACGAAGAAGACGAGCTCAGATCTGTCACTGCAGCATCTTGCATGAACAAGAAGAAAACGGACGTGTACATGACCTCAAGTGGTCGCTCCAGGAAATAATTGTTGTCTCTCAATTGGGACAGATAGGATTCCATGAGTGACGAACAGGAATCGCTGCCCAGAGTCTCGTCCAGACTGGAATTCCATTGAGTGGCCAGGAAATTCTCAGGGTTTAAATATTCCAATTGAGTCGTGGTATCATAGACTACGAAAGATGGCGAGTTCAATTGGACCAGAGGACTCGGTGAGTGGAAGTCTCCTTCCATTATGTAGTCGACTGGCAGCGCATCCTCACCAGCGAATAGGTAGCGCTTGGTTTGAGGCAGTTGATACCACATACCACGGCAATCTCCTCCATCCTCTCCACTAACGTCACACTGGGCATCAAACTCCTCATGTACTGGATCAGTCTGCCATGATAATAGTGCAAAGCTGAACTGGATGTGACGTCGCGGATTCTTGATATACGGTCCAAGGTACATATCCAGATTCTCCTCATAGACTTCATACTCTCCGTCGAAACCTCCGACTGAAAAAGTGTCACCAGAAATGTACGACCCGATGCCATAGAGCACAGCCTGGTTGGAGATTTTCTCGCAATTAACAGGATACCAACCTCCATAGTTGGCGTCGTAGCTGATCTCGGAGCAATTATCCACGAGTGGGATTACCCCGATCTCCTTTTGTAGGTTGAAGGCGTTGCTGAAGTCGAAGAAGACACAAGAAGTGTTACCGCAGAAGCTCGTGCTGAAGTAACTCCACAGATAATCAGGGACAGAACTCACATTTGCACCGAACGCGTCTGATCCATTCTCTGCCGAAGACCCACAAACATCGTAGAAATTGCACGCGACGTCTTCGATCGTCCATCCATAGTTAACAGAAGTGTTGAGAGCCACATCAATAGTTAACGCCTCGATACTCATCTGATCAGTGAGACTCAGCTTCTCCATGGACACGGTGGTCTCGTCTAGAGCGAAGGCATTGGGGAAGGACTTGTTGAGTCCCGTAGTGATCAAATTCATGACAGAATCGATGGATACAGACGTGATGTTGCTCACAGCTTCTGTCAGAGTGAAGAGCGACGTAGCGGGGCCTTGACAAATCCTCGTTCCGTCGGTATTATACGTCCATCCGCCAGTACTCATCGAGTTGTTGGGCAGCACGTCCAGATCTGTTCGACTGTCAGACTCGGAGCAGTTGTGTTGTCTCCGCTCCGAGTTGGCAATAGCTCGCTCCACCATGACAGTCCCGTGAAAAAAGAGGTTAATCGTGTTGATAATATCGAAATCCTCCGGCCACTCGGAATTGCCCTGAGCTTCACTGTACGTGATGGAGTAGTTAGCGTCAGGTGTTTTGTTCATAAAGTTGATCTCCGTGTTCCATTCGTTCGAGTAAAACCCATAAACGGCGGCGATGGAGGCCAGATCGTCCACATTAATAGGAGCCAAACTCTCGCCCGCGTACATGACCGACGAGTTCTGCTGTGTACACGTGGGGTCAGCGATGAAGCTGAAAGGAGTTGTCTGTTGCCGTACTGCGTTCTTTAAGATCGTGTCACTAGGTCGTCGGATGTTTGACTCGTTCTTCAAGGCATCAGCTTGGAGCTTCTCGATGGAAGACTGGGATTTCTGGAAATCGTCGAGGATCATAGTCGAGTTGAAGCCCACTGTACTGTTGGAAGCCTGGAAACCTCGAATGCTATTACCCAGAGTGAGCACGACGAGGATGGGGACGACAAAGAGGATGACGGATCGGACACGACCGACCACTTTACTGGGCGCTGTGGTCTCCTTGGAGGACCAGAGGAGGTTGTGGAGGAACACAATGTACGTCGGCTGGATCTTGTCGAGCCACCAGCCCATGACGACCTCGATGAAGGCCATGGCGAGACCCGAGCGGAAGTTGTACGTGTCGGTCTTTGCATTGGCATTGGTGGAGGATCCGACTTTGTCGTAGATGGTCTCAGGTAGGGTGATCCCCCACAGAGCGACACCCGTGAAGGCTCCAACGAAGAGACAAAGTACAGCGACGTGGAAGGCCTAACGACCAGGAGCCAACGTGATGTCCAGAGTGGGCGAACTCGCCTCCAGTTTGTCCTCTAGCATAGCGACGTCGACGGGTTTCTCGCCATTCTCGCCCTCCTTCGACATTTTAGAGTCAAGTTGTTGCTCGTTCGATGCGTTTTGCATTGTGCCAGCCGACGGGTTGACTCTGGTTGCGGTCTAGTCTGCTGACGAAGTGAACTCCATGGATACAAACAGCATCGATGGAAGGCTGTTGCTGCTTGTTGGTAGAGGCATCGCCTGCTGTTTCCGGTGTCCAGATAGAACCATTTACTGTCGTCGATGCCTTGATTCACAACTGGGTGTGTGATATATTAGCGACTTTTTGCCAGTCAACCCAAACTTTACCATAATGTTTTACTAAAATTGTATAGAGCTGCACGCCATGTGAACCCACTGCATCACGACGATGTCTTGACATGGGGAGTCTGTTACCATTTGCGCTTCGACGTCATAAGGTTCACATCCTTAAGAACCTTTAATCATGGACACGCAGTCGCCGTCAAACGCATACGAGGCTGTTATGGAGACTCCCAAGAAGAACCGACCGAGGGGCTACGACGACGTCGACAACACCAACAATACGATCCTCCTACAGAACGACACACTACTCGATCAGGAGCATGTGGAGCCAGACGTCAAACTACTGGCCATCCCCTTCATGGCCATCGTGATCCTCAGTAACGGAGCTCTCATCGGCTTTATGGCCATTTTCCTGTCTGAAGTCACTATGGGCTCCAAGATCAGCGACCCCGTTGGGTCCTCCAAGAACGCCGACAAAAAAGTCGAGACCTACCAATTACTCAATGGCTACATCTCCGCTGCAGCCGGAGAGCTACTCAACTTTGCCTACTTTGTCTTCCTCGCCGTTATGGTCACGTACTTTGGGAACCTCCCCTGGCATCCAGGCCAGAACGTTCGAGACGGTCGCGGTAACGTCAAGAAGGCAGTTCTCTGGTGGTTCACGCCTTTCATGATGTACGTCGTCAACGTCGGGATCACTTCCATGAACATCAAGCACATTATCGTGGGCGTTGAGCACATTTTCGTCCAAGACGACCTCGTCACCGCCAGTACCGCTCCCAATTCCACGACGTCCGGTTACGACGTTCAGAACACCATTTTGAGGACTGCGGTTCTGCAGAATAGTGACCCCTTCATCATCCAATCGGGCTCTTCCTGTCTGCTCTCCGACACTTCTTCAGTTAGTGAGGCCAGTCTTGAGATCAGTATCAACGAGAGCAGTTCCATGCCCACCGTCAAAGGTATCGACTCCACTTCAGTGGGTTTCGGCTTCACTATTAACTCGTGGAACTACGAGGCGCTTCCCTATGGTCTTAATGCCACGCACTCTGTAAATCTTACAGCGGGAGACCTCCCTACTGACGCCTTCTCTGAATTCCAAGCAACTACTGGGTTTGATTTCTTGACTGGATACGAGATGTTTCTACAGGGTAAAGCTCTGTTTGAGAGGTCAGTGTCAGATGCCAACGTCTCGGCCGAATACCCGTGCTCTTGGGTTGATGGAAAATACGAAGACGACAACTCGGACCAAGACGTTTTCAATACTTTCGACAACACCAGCGAGTACGCGAACATGCGGAAATGCAACGGGGCAGTCAGTTCACTGCAAATGTTGACAAACGCCACGGATCCTTCGACTCACAATCTCGAGTCTTTCGTGAACATTGTCCTGGATGGAATGAACATAACGCTGAACCAATCGACCAAATTATCACTTGATGAGACGACCTTCCTCTTCGAAACGTACAAAATATCGGATCAATTGAATCTCACCATGATGACGCTCGACATTCCGTTGGATCTGTCGGTGCAGTACCGAAATCTGAGTGCAGATTGCACCGCCAACGGCACCCTGTCGCCGGATGTATACGACACGAGTCTGTATACAGCAGATCAACTTGCTCAGCTCGCCCAGTTCTACTGCAACACGACGTATTATCTCTACAGCAGCCCTGCAGCCACCTGTGGATCATCCAACTGCATTTTCCTGGATCAATCGGGCATGGCCGCGTTCAAGAGGCAGGTTCTACTCTTACCTTACTTGAAAGGCTGTAAGGTGGACGACATGTCCTACGGCAGCGACTATCTCAATTTCTTGCCATCCGGGTGCACAGCAGAGAAGGACTCAGCTTTTCTCTATGGGGCAGGAACGTACATTTCAGGTGACGCCTTCAATGAACAAGACGCTCTTCCCTTCATGATCAACCCGAGACGTCATCTCATGTTTTCTTTCGCTAAACTCGACTGGCAACTGGAAGACGTGAGTAAGATGTTCAATGCCGGGTGTGAAGTACCAGGAGGTTGCGACGGTCTTGTTCATAAACTCCAGAATGGTACGAGCCCCAGTGCAAAATCTGTATCGGTTCTTGTGGTTGGGAACAGTACAATTCCCTCCGAGAGAATGGACGCCAGATTCATTAACCCCGTGCAACTCGTGACACTCAACGCACAACCACTACTGTATCCGAAGACCAAGGAGCGTCACTTGTGGGAATACGTTCAAATGGACCGATTTGATGAAGTGACTTGGGCAGATGCAAATTTGGGGGAATTAAACTGCTCGGTTCTTGTGGATTCCTTCATCACTCAAGTGGAGAACAACCACTATTATCTGGACGACCCACGCCAAGTAATGTACACATCTGCGTTGTATTATCTGTTTCAAAACGCAGCGACGAAAACGGTGACGCTGGGTGACAAGCCTGATGGAGCGAGTAGTTTGTACATTGGATCTACTCGTCTGAACGGCGATACGGAGCGGAAGAAGATCAAATATTCCATTCCGTTGAGCTCCGCTATCGCCACATTCATCGGCATCGCGATCGTCATCGGGTTTTCCTTTATTGTGGTCATTACACCCATCGATCGAGTCATGACCTCCCGAGAGACGAATTTCGCGGCTCGCTACACTGATCTATTGACGAAGGAGGACTATCCTCCAGAAGTTCACAACTGCAACTTGCGAGTTCCAGGTGGAGAGTTACTCCCGATGGAGGACTGCACTGTCGAGAGAATTACGCTACACTCACTGGCTGACGAGTCTGAGAAGGTTTTCTTGTAAGGTCAGCAATGTAATGCAATAAAAGTGTCATTTATATGGATTTAATCAAAGAACTGGTTCCCTGCCAGACGACACTGAGGCTCGAACCGCGTTGAAGAGTAGATTGCCTCGACATGCGAGACGGTCGATGGTTTCTTGCATTTCAATCTTCGACAAGGGTAGCGTTGTGTGGTGTAGTTTGAAGAAATTACTTCGAGTCATTACCACTTGGGTCTTGATCTGCAGCTTCTTTGGATTTTGAGAGCAAGACACCTTGTCCTTGTACGTCTGTACCGTGAGAATGGACGTGAGGTCCTGACGTAGTTTCTCGTCCGGAGAGTACGGATGCAGCTCGTCCTTATCCACGCAGTCGATTACGATGATTCCGTACTCCCTTCCGTCCCCAAACTCCTCGTTGTGCTCATCGAAGTGACTGAAGATTACGTCATTCGACTCCACTTGGTATCCGCTGGGCGTTGATCGAAGGAAGCGGTGTTGTGATACAGCTGTGTTGTCAGCCTCTTCCTCTTCACATAGTGTGAGGTCACCAGTAGCCTCGGAGATCATGATTTCCATGTGGAACAGGTAGAATTTGAGCGTATCGAACACTTGCCTAGCACTAAAATCTCCCTCTAAGGGCAGCACCACGAACTTTACAGTGCAGTAGTCCCCGGATGGAGACACATAGCAACTCTGCTCCGAGCTTGGAACACTCAGATCCATGAACGCGGTGCGTTCGTGCATGAAGCGACGGGCATTGCGCAGCATC